CCAAATGACAAACTTCCTCTTGCAACTCCAGGCCCAGCCCTCCCCAAACAACCACCAACTGGAGACAAGTATTCAAACGCCCAAGGCTGTGAGGAACATCTATTCAAACCACCACAGTAACCATGCCTGGTAGTCTTAATTTTTCAGTTCTGCATACCAAACCCATAAACAAACAAACTCAGACACGATAGGCAATCATTCCACCAATTGAGCTACATCCAGTGAACTATGTCCCTAGCTCCAAATTACATTCTTCTTAATACCAGAATATTCCTTAGCATATGTATATGTTTTAATCCAGTCATGTCTTGGTGGGTGTCTAGGTTGGTTCTATAACTTAACTTTGTTGGGAATAGTGTTGTAATAAAATCAGGGTATGTGGACATCTCTCATGTACTGACAGTCATTCATTTGGGTATATACCTAGGCGTGGGTCAACTATACCGTATTTTAGGAATCTTCCTACTGTCTTCAATAGGATCTGTAGAAGTTTATATTCCCATAAATAGTACACAAGCGTTCCTTTCTCTCCAAATTCTTGCCAGTATTTGTTGTTAGTTATTTGCAACAGCCTTTCTGACTTGAGTGAAATGGAATTTCAGCCAGGAAATGCTGCCAGGGTGGGGGTGGGGACTGAGAGATGGCCCAGAGGTTAAGAGCACTGGCTGCTCATCTAGAGGACCTGGATTCGGTTCCTGGCACCTACAGGGCAGCTCACAACTGTCTGTAATTCCAGTTCCAGGGATCTGACACCTTCATACCAATGCACATAAAATAAAGTAAATTTTTTAAAAAAGAAATGCTGTGGGGTCCTCCTGTATGCTATAACTATGTATTGCTCTCATTGGTTAATAATAATAATATTTTTTAAAAAAAGCTGTTTGCTTATATAGCAAGGCAGGATAGTTTGTCAGGAAAATCCAAATGAGGATTGGGAGGAAGAAGTGCAGATTGGGAGATGCCAGCCAGTCCCAAGGGAAGCAAGATTCTAGGAGGACAGGTAAAGCCACCAGCCTAATGGCTAATACACAGATTAATAGAAATGGGTTAATTTAAACATAAGAGCTAGTTAGTAATAAGCCCGAGGTGTCAGCCAAGCATTTGTAATGAATATAAGCCTCTGAGTGGTTATTTGGGAACTGGTGGGTAGGAGAGAAATGTCCATTTACAAACAAGCTATTTGTATTCTCCTGTGTCACACTGCTTTCAATGGCAACTATATAATTTTACATTGCCACCAAAATGTGCAAGGATTCCAATTACTCATGGGGAACACCTTGGCTCATTTTGTAATCCCAGAATTCAGGAGGCTGAGGCAACAATATTGCTGCAAGTTTTAGGCTAGCCTATGCCACTTAATGAGTTCCAGGGCATTCCTGGCTATTCTGTGAGACCCTACCTCAACAACAATCTTGAATAACAAGTATTTCATGTCTTTATCAACATATATTTCCTGTCGTTTTGATAGTAGTCATTTTAATAGATGCATCACTTCATTGTAGATTTGATTTACATTTTCCTAGCGGTTAGTAATATGAAAGTCTTCACATGCTTATTGGCCATTTGTATAACCTGGGGAATGTCCCTAAGTTCTTTCTCCATTGACTTTTTCTTTTTGTGTGTGTGTTTTTGTTGTTGTTTGTTTGTTTGAGACAGGGTTTCTCTGTATAACAACCCTGTATAGCTGTCCTGGAACTTGCTGTATAGACTAGGCTGGCCTTGAATTCACAGAGCTCCAACTGCCTCCCAAGTGCTGGGATTAAAGGGACATGTTACCATGCCCGGCTTCCATGGGGCATTTGTTAATTCAGATTGCTGGGTAATTGCTGTGTTGTATTTTAGGAATTTTTATGTTTGAGATATTAATCTCTGATGAAATACTCGATCTAAAAATATTTTCTCTAGTTCTAGGGGCTGCCTTTTGCTTTGTTGAAGTGCCTTTGGTGTTGGTTTTTGAGAAAGGGTCTCTCTGTTGTGTAGCTCTAGCTGTCCTAGAGCTCCTATGTAGACCCAGGCTGGCCTCAGATTCACATAGATCCACCTGCCTCTGCCGCCTGAGTGCTGAGATTAAAGGTGTGCCCTGCTATACCCCATTCTTTTTTTTTTTTTTTTTTTTTTTTTTTTTTTTTTTTTTTTTGTCTTTTTATTTTTGCTGTTGTTTTGAGACACCACCTTGCTGCTTGGCCCTGTTGCCTTTGAACTCTCAGCAATCTTCCTTGCCTCATTTTCCTAAATATTGGGATTATAAGCATGTGCCACCATGTCTGGCTTGGCTGAGCGCGTGCGTGTGCACACACACACACACACACACACACACACACACACACCTCTGTCCATTTGTTTAATGTACGTGTGTATGAGTGGAAACGCTCAAGCACTATGGTATGCATATGAAGGTCAGAGGATAACTAGCAGGACCAGGCTCTCTCACTACATGGCTTCCAGAGACCTAGTGGGAAACACAAATAATAAAACAGAAAGAAAAACATACAGTGGTCTCCCTGCAGGCCAGAAGAGGGCACCAGATCTCATTATAGATGGTTGTGAGTCACCATGTGGTTGGTGGGACTTGAACTCAGCACCTCTGGAAGAGCAGCCAGTGCCCTTAACCTCTGAACCATCTTTCTAGCCCTCCTTTTTCCTTTTTGGTTGTTGAAAAGTGGACATTTTGATATCATGTAGCAATCCCTTCCATCTGTCTCATTGTTGCTACTTGTAGTTGTCATTTGTTAACTCTTCTGAACCAATTTCTGAAGCGGGTTTTTTGGCCATGTCTCTGTCACTCTCTCCTTTGTTTCCCTCTCCCTTGTTTCTGTCTTCCTCTGTTTCTCTCTCCCCCACCTCTCTCCCCCTCTCTCTCTTTCTTTGAGGCAGGGTCTATAATGTAGCCCTGACTGGCTGGCTTAGAACTCACAGAGATCCTGCCTCTAATCTTGAATGCTGGGATTAAAGGCTTGTGTCAACACACTTGGTCTCTGCTGTTTTTCTTCTTGAAAAAAAAAAAAGGAAAGAAAAAAGAAAACTTAGGTTTATTTTTTGTGTATGAGTAATACTTCATTCAATGTCTAGCTATGTAGCCCTGGCTGGCCTAGACTGTAGACCAGGATGGTTTTGAATTCATAGTGGTCATTTCCTTCTCATAAATTTTGATTCCCCATAGTTGACACTGCAATCATGCTTTGAGTTTTTAGGTAGAATAAGAGACCAAACTCATCATAATGGAAAATGGTAATTTAATAATTGTGGTTGAGTACGGTGTGAGCTTTTACATTTTCTCAGGATAAAAAGATATATAAAGAATAATGAACAGGCCCAGTGTGATGAATGTAACCCCAGAACTCAGGAGGCAGAGGCAGGCCCTGAGTTCCATCCAGGTCAGCCAGGGCTACACGGTGAGACCCTGTTTCAAACAAAGAATACAGAAACTTCAGGGTTTTCTGTTCCATATTGGGGAATGTATATGAGATGTGGGTTGTTTCTTTTTAATTTTTAAAAAGGACTTTATTTTACTTGTTATTTGTGTAAGTGTGTGTGTGTGTGTGAGTGTGTGTGTGTGGTGTGTGTGAGTGTGTGTGTGTGTGGTTTGTGTGAGTGTGTGTGGTGTGTGTGTGTGTGTGTGTGTGTGTGTGTGTAGGCCAGAAGAGAGTGTTAGATCCCCTGGAACTGGAATCACAGGCAGTTGAGAGCCTCTTGACGTGAGTGCTGGGACCCAAACTTTGCGCCTCTGCAAGCACAAGTGGTCTTTACCCCTGGGCTATCTCTCCAGCAAGCCAGTTTTAATTATTAAATACATTATTTATTTATTTATTTATTTATTTATTAGTGTGTGTACAGGCACTCAGTGCACGTGTGGCACCATATGTCCAGAGGTGTTGGTTCTCTCCTTCCATCATGTGGCTTCCGAGGATTGAACTCAGATGAGTTCGAGCTTATAGGTAAGTGCCTTTACGCAGTCAGTCATCTTGCCAGCTGAGGCAGGTCTTATTTTGTTCATTCTTATTTTTAGGATTCATTTTTATTTCGTGTATATGGTATTTTGCCTGCTGTAGTCAGACTTTCCTTGGCCTGCCAGCTCATAAATAATGACACAGAGACTTATTAATAATTATGAAGAGTTGGCCTTAGCTTAGGTTTTTTCCCCAACTAGTTCTTATAACTTAAACTAACCTGTTTTTATTAATCTACATTTTACTGCATGGCTTGGTCACCTCTCCTCTGTACCATATATCTGACTTGTTCTACATCTTCCTGGCATATCTTTCATGAAACTAAATTCAACCCAAGTTCCTCTCTTTGCCCAGAAGTCCAGCCTATTCTCTCCTGCCTACCTATTGGCCATTCAGCTCTTTATTAAAACAATCAGAAGGCACCTTGGCAAAGACACATATTCCCAGTGTAAGCAAACATCCCACAACATTGTAGTTTATTAGCTATGATAGAAAGTTAATTAGGTACAAACCTCTGGGCCCACTGAGAGTGGATAGATAAGAATATGCCATATACAAATGGACTGAACATTGTGAATATAATTCTTTCCTGATAATTGTTCGTACTGTATAGTTTTACTATGTTAGAGTTAAAACCTTTCCTTTTTAATTAGACAAAGGTGCCTTCTGATTGGTTTAATAAAGAGCTGAATTATTAGCTAGCAGGAGAAAATGGGCAGGACTTCTGGGGAAAAAGAGGAACTCTGGGATAGAATCTAATTGCACAGGAGGTGCCACCAAGATGAGAAACAAGTCGGACATACAATACAGAGGAGAGGTAACCAAACCATATGATAGAAAATAGATTAATAGAAAAAGATTAAGTTATAAGAGCTATTTGGGGAAAAGCCTAGCTAAGGCCAAGGTTTTATATTTAATATAGTCTCTGTGTTGTTATTTGTGAACTGACAACCCAAAGAAACGTCCAACTACAGCCTGAATGTATGTCTGTGAACCAAGCAGTCAGTGCTCAAAGATGCCAGACGTCAGCCAATCCCCTGGAACTGGACTTACAGACACTTGTTAGTCACAATGTCGGTGCTAGCAGTGGAACCCTAGTCCTCTGGAAGAAAAGCAAGTTCACATAAGCACTGAGGCATGTCTTCAGCTCCCAGGTTTGTTTGTTTGGGTTTTTGTTTGTTTGTTTTTTGTTTTTCAAGACAGGGTTTCTCTGTGTAACAGCCCTGGCTTTCCTGGAACTCTTTGTAGACCAGGCTGGCCTCATACTCACAGCAATCTGCCTGCCTCTGCCTCCCAAGCGCTGGGATTACAAGTATGTGCCACCACCATCTAGCTCCCAGGTTTGTTTTTAATCAAATCTCTTCTGATAATCATTTGTAACCATTTTATTAAGCACTAGCTATTTACAGTGGAGGTACTAGGAATACAAAAACTGGCAAAATATGCTACCTTATGACACTATGGAGAATAATTGGCTAAGCATGCTTATTTGACTGCCTTTGACTTTTAAAAACTTTTTTCTTTAACTTTCTTTTTTAAAGTGTGTGGTGTTTTGCCTGCAAATATGTATGGGTACCATTTGCATGCAGTGCCTTCAGAGACCAGAAGAAGGCATTGGATCCCCTGGAACTGGAGTTACAGATGGTTGTGAGCCTCCATGTGGGTGCTGGAAATAGAACCCAGGTCTTCTGGAAGAGCAGTCCGTGCTTTTAACCCCTGAGTCATCTCTCCAGCCCCCCCCCCCCACCCTTTTGCTTTTTAAGCAGAGCAAGCCATCTACTGTCTTGGGCTTTTTTGATCCCTGGTAAAACTTCCAACATTTACTATTTTCGTTTCTGTGTGAGTTCCTCAGCCTGGACTCTGCTGGTGTTCAGGTGTTTCCTCATACCTTCAAAGTGCTTAGAACTGCTTTTAATCGATATGGTTTACTTCCTGTCTCCTCCCCCCCCCCAAACACACACACTTCCCATGCAAGGTACAGACTCACCTGTATCTCTAAGGCTTAGTACAGTTCTTCACATACCGTAACTGACATAGGCATATCAGACAGTTGATTAGATAGAGGCACGTACAAGGTACAGTGGGAGCGTAATAATAATCTGGTACATAAATCTTAACTGTACTTATAGCTTTAACCTATGACCCTTAATCTTTGGATTTCCGATGCTGTCAGGCAAATCCAGTTTTTTTTTTGCCTTCATTTTATTTCTCTTATGTTGTCTCTCTCTTAAGTGACCTCTTACTGACAAGCTTGTTCTCCTTTCACACATTTAATGCACCAAAGAGCATATTATATTTTTAAACAATATATTTTTAACAATATTTTTTTAAATGTAAATCCAATCAAGGTAATTTTTCTCTTAAAACTCTCTGGTGGTTTCTCAGAATAAAAGTTAAATAGGCTGGAAAAATGGCTCACAAAGTAAAGGGGCTTGCTGCCAAGCTGACAATGTGAGTTCAGTGCCAAGATCCTGTGTGGAAGAGGGAGCAAACTAAGGCCTACAGGCTATCCTCTGACGTCCCCATATGCATGCGTGCCTATGTACACTAAATAGATGCAAAACATTACACAAAGTTAATATCCTCCCAAAGCCTCCCAGGCCCATGTGTTCTTGCCCTGTTTGCCTTTGACTTCTTGGGTTTTTTGTTGTTGTTTTTGGTTTTTCGAGACAGGGTTTCTCTGTGGCTTTGGAGGCTGTCCTGGAACTAGCTCTTGTAGACCAGGCTAGTCTCTACTTAGAGATCCGCCTGCCTCTGCCTCCTGAGTGCTGAGATTAAAGGCGTGCACCACCACTGCCCGGCTGACTTCTTGTTTTTTTTTTTAAAGATTTATTAAATATACAGTGTTCTGCTTGCATGTATGCCTGCACACCAGAAGAGGGCACCAGATCTTATAGATGGTTGTGAGCCCACTATGTGGGTGCTGGATATTGAACTCAGGACCTCTGGAAGAACAGTCAGTGCTCTTAACTTCTGAGCCATTTCTCCAGTACCTTTGACTTCTTAAAACTCAATTTCTTAGGCTTTTTTGGTCCCTTGCAAATCTTCCAACATTTACTGTTTTCGTTTCTGTGTGAGTTCCTCAGCCTGGACTCTGCTGGTGTTCAGGTGTTTCCTCACGCCCTTCAAAGTGCTTAGAACTGCTTTTAATCGATATGGTTTACTTCCTGTCTCCCCCCCCCCCACACACACACTTCACATGCCAGGTACAGGCGCGTGCGTATCTTTCCGTCTGTTCCTTGTATCTCTAAGGCCTAGAACAGTGCCTCACATACATTAGCTGTTCAGAAAATACAAGTTAAATAAGTGGATGCATATGTGTAATTGGCTTCAAAAGACTGTCACCTGCCGAAGTTCTTTTTTTAGTGTTTAGTTGCTACCTTATTGCCTTATTACCCACCAGAGCACTTGTTGGCTGTGTTCATTACTGCACTTGAAGTGTAAAACAGTTCTTGGTCTACGTATAGCAGGGGTGTAGTCAGAACTATTTACTAAGAGAATGAATGGTTGAGTAAAACACCGGATTCCGTAAAGATCTTAAAATTCAGAGATGAGAAAGCTTGCTGTAGCCGACAATAGGCAAGCAACCGGGCACGCTCTTGAGCCCAGAGTGGTGAGATTGGATTTGTATTTGAGATGAAAAGTTACGGCAACCAAGCGAGTAGAGAGTAGACACTAAAGCAGCCCTGTGTGGAGGCGCAGGCCTGTCCTCCCAACACTGGGAGACCCAAGTTAGAGGCCAGCCTGGGCTACAGAGTGAGGTCTTACCACCACCAAAAAAGAAAAACAAAGACCCCCCTCAAACCAACAATGGTAGACAAGGAAGGATGGATAGAAAGGGAAAGAAAGACAAAATTCATACGCGGTGAGGAACTCCTTCTAAGTTACCAGCAGTCAGTGGGTGGATCTCACTAAGGTTGAGGGCTCAGCCTCTTGCGCTCACCGGGCACTAGTGAACTCCACTTCCCATCATGCATCG